ATATTTATCATAGTTCTTTTAGTAGTGGCAAATAATTGGAAACTGAGGGGTGTCTATTAATTGAGGAATGGTGGAACAAGTTGTGTTATACTAATATGATAGAATACTATTGCACTGAAAGAAATGAAGAAGGAGATGGTTTCAGAGAAACCTGGGAAGACTTGTATGAACTTATGCATAGTGAAGTGAGTAGAACCAAGAGAACAATTTATACAATAACAATAATATGATAAAGACAACTTTGAAAAATTAAGGAACTCTGATTAACACAATGAAGAAGGCAGATTGAAGCACATTTTCTCTTTCTTTCTTTTTTGGCTAATTAGGGAATTTGTTTTGCATGGCTATACATATTTGAAATGGAGTTTTTTGGTTTTTTTTTTTTGCAACAAGGGATATATGAGGGCAAGAAGGCAGATCTTCATGTGAAAAAAAATTTGATAAAATACAGATAGCAGACTCAGTTCAGGGGCAAGGGCATTTACTCAATTCACACAGCAAGAATAGTAGTTACAAAGCAATCCCCCAGCACAGGGGTAGGGGGTCCTCACTGTCTTGTAAACACACAGTATGTGAGGGGAAGAGTAGACACAACCTTAAAGTACAATAGTAGTGGACAATACATGCAGTGAATACATGTGGCCAAGGCATCTCAAAACTCCAGAAATGCAAGGTCTTAACATACTTTCTTTCTTTGGAGGGTTCTCACAAAGCTGGTCAGTAATCCACAAGTTTCTCTGCCGCTCAGCTTGACCAGCTCCTCAGAGGGCAAAGTATTTCCATTTGACAGGCATTTCAGCTGGTCTTACATCTTGGAGGGCATGGTGTCCCAAGGATATAGATCTATCTGCTGTTGAGCTGGATCCAAAGGGTCACAAGAAAGGTACTCCTCTGCTTTCTCACTTCTGGCTTGGCTGCTGCTAGGCTGGATGGCAAGAATTCTCAGGCACTGATCTTGGCTCCTTCTAGGTTGGGCTGGTCCGGGGCTGAATGCTAATGTGAGACTGGATCAGACAAGCCAATCTGCTGCTGGATTGGCTTTCCTCAGGGTACAGCGGGAGGAGGGTAACTGAATACTCTTGGCTTGCTTTTCTATGGGAAGCTGCAGGATTATTCTACTGTCAGCCACTGACTCTACTAGGGGGTGTTGAGCTCTTTTCAGCTGGAATGTTAAGGATCCTCTTGAAACTGGGGCGGGGGGGGGAGGGGAGGGAGGGGAGCGCAGTATAGACTAGGATTGGCAGAATTCTCTCTTTGACTTCCTCAGAGCTAAGAAAACCTCCAATAGGGTCACGAAGAGTCAGACATGACTGAAAACAATTGAGTAACAACAAGCCCCAGCTCTAGAGGTCTGACTTTTCCAGGCAGGGGTAAGGAGAAGTATAGACTTTTTGGCTCTCCAGTCCTTTTCAGGTTCAAAAGCATCTTCCTCCGGTAAGACATTCTATCTAGAGCTTCAGTATGTTTATCCAAAAAAAAAAAAAAAGTTTAGAAGGATAGTAACTGTTCGTTGACCTTATGTAGGTTCTCCTAGAGTTTTGGAGGCCCAGTGTCTAAGCACAGCTTTGTGGTATCAATTATACCTTCATTACAGTTTTCATTTTAATTTCTTTAAATATAGCTTAGGAAAAAAAAACAGGCTTTAAAAAAGGCCATTGTGTTTTATATGGAGCTATTTGACTATGCCTTTAAACCCAAATCACTCTGGCTTTCACTGAATGGCCAATAATAGCCCCAACCTAAGGCTCTGTGGCTTATTGTTTAGTTTTTGATGGTTTAGAAGGAGTGTTCTGGCCAGAAACAAGGGTCTTCCCCTCCCAGATTTATATCTTTCAGATGGTAAATTGAACCATCTTTTGTCAATTCTTACCTAACCCTTAGTTATTGAATGACCATGGCCTCTGACAAACTAAGACCTGAGAAAGACCTTAATTTAGAAAGGCCAAGGTCACCCACTGCATCCTGGGTCATGGCCAGTGCTTTTGACCTTTGACTTGCCATCATGACTCTGGAGGAAAGAATGAGTCTTTGTGCAGCTCTACCCCACTTAAATCCAATCCTCTAAAAAGTCATGGTTCTCTTTGAGACTGAAGGTCCAACAATAACAACAACGACAACTCTACCTAGCCTTGTGGTGTATAATCCTTATTCACTCTGTTACACTTTCCATACTACTTTTTAGATTTCATACAGATGAGTGGTTTGGGACAAAGGTATAAATGTAGTCTGTGTCTTTAGGGCAGGTTCGTTGTCTTGCTGGCCTCTTCATTTGCAGTGGAGCTATTCAATTCCAGATGATTTCTAAGGTGGGGAATATTTCACAAATGAAGATATGCTTTTCATTTTAATGTGGCTCTATTTTAGACTCTGTAAACCTCTAGTGGATAGACTTCTTGGGCCTAGAGTTTGGAAGCCTTGAATTCAAATGTGACCTGGGATACTCACTAGCTGGATGACCTTGGGCAAGTCACTTAACTTCTGTCTTCCTCAGTTTCCTCTTCTGTCAAATGAGCTGAAGAAGGAAATGGCAAACCACTCCAGTATGTTTGCCAAGAAAATCTCAAACGGGTCATGAAGAGTCACACATGACTGAAAATGACTAAACAACAAAATATATATGTATATATGTCTATACACTTGCTTATATATTTTTTATTTCCTTTTATTCCTCCTGCATTTTTTGGTTAATATCAGCCTCACTTGACCAAAACCTGTCCTATGGGATGTGAAAATTTACTTAAGAGCCTTAAACATTCCTTAGATAAGAAGCAGAGGAAAAATCTCAACTGTCCCTGACTCCTTATAAATCTTTCTTCTCAATCAGTTTATTTGTGACTCCTCTAAATGTAGTTTAATCTGTAACCTGGCTTAATTAACCTATAGCGTCTGGTTGATAAAGTTTGTTTCCTTAGGAAATATATGAGGTTATGACTGTGTTTAAGTTTATTCCACATTTTTTAGTTTGAAAGAAGTATGGGATTATGGATCTATATTTTCTTTAACTTTTATGAACTAAGAGGAACATAAAGGTTGTGATAAGTAAAAGCATTATTTCTGTCATTCTGATGTGATTTTTTTCTATAAGAAGCCTTGTCAGAATTTTCATGATTGTTCAGGTTTACTCTGAGGCCTGAACCTATGCTTAAGCATAATAATAAAAGTTAGGTTTTTACTGCTATAATTTCTGCATTATGATAAATATATATTTGGCAGCAGTTACCCACTTTTGAACTCAGAGATGAGATATTTCTTCCATAACAATATAATCACACAGAGGTCACCAATTGCTCTCTATTTGAGTGTGTGATACACACAATAAACAACTGAGGGAATCAGGAGAGGTCTTTTGAAGGAAAAGGTACTTGAGCTGAGATGCTCTGAGAAAGTGAGGTAAAGAGGAGTGGGTTTTTTTTTTTTCTTTTCTCCACTTTGGTTCTTGTATTTCAAGTGGAAGCAAGAGCTTAAAGTAGTGGTAAGTAGTAGCAGTAACAGATATCATAATATCTATTAAGTAATATTCTATTAAGCAATATTCTGTTAATTCTATTAAGCAATCTAATAAGTAAAAGAAATAATAGTTACAGAGTCTTTAACGGGGTCATTGCTCACTGCAGCTCCCCCAAAATCTAGCCAGATGGCAAATGCTGACCTAGATGTTATGGAAGGGTAGCAATCACTTCTGACACTACACTGTGGCTGTGGAATAAGGTGGAGAGGAGAGAAGAGAATGGAGTGGCAGTCAAATACTTTCAAATTAAAAGCAAAATTCGTTGGAATTTTTTTTTTAAAGGAGGGTTGTTCGTTTGTTTGTTTTTTTTGGGGGGAGACAGGGAGACAGGATAGATAGTGGTTTGAGGTTTATTATAAACTCCCTGGGGTATAGAATTTCATGTGACTCAGCTTGAGATTTTGCTCTAGCCTCATTGTGCAGTTACTGGAAAAATTCACAAAACTGCAAATAGTCTGTCCAAACGGGGCCCAATTTATTTATCAGGTGACATCCTTGCCACAGAATCTGAGAAGCAAAGATTAAAATAATAAAGCACCGGCATTCTCCCGGGCTGTCACCTTACGCCTGGACTGCTCTCCTTCCTCTGCTTCACCTACCGACCTCTCTGGCTTCCTTTAAATCCCAACTAAAATCCCACCTTCTACATAAAGTCCCTCTCAATTCCAGGGCCTTCCCCTCGTTAATTATTTACTATTTATCCCCCTATAGCTTGCTTTGTACGTATTCGTTTGCATGTTGTCCCCCCATTAAACTGTACGGCAGCGACTGTCTTTTGCCTCTTTTCGTATTAGCAACACTTAGCACAGTGCCCACCACACAGTAGGCACCTACTAAATGTTTATAGAATTGGATTGATGCAGAAAGAGGAGAGCACTACAGTTAGTGGGAGGATCATTAGGTCTGAATTCTCAGTCTACCACAAACTATCTTGTGTGCCCTTAGAAAACTCATTCTGGGCTTCATCTCTAAAATGGGAAGGAGGAAACTATCCCAGCTCCAAAAATGTTCAGTCTCTCTCGGCTGGGTGGATGTATGTAGGTACGTATAAATAATCTGTACATATATTACTCTATCATAGGTGATATAATCTGTACAATATATGTACTATGTGCCTGGAACATAGTACGTGCTTAGTAAGTTTAATATAAATAATGCAACCAAAAGGCAGTAGTTCCAACAATCCTAAACTGCGCTAATAAAGAAAGTACGGCTCCTTTAAGGACAAGCTGGAGACTAAAGCACAGAGTGCGCTGCCTCTGGCTAGTCTGGTCACCAGAGGCTTCCGTACTCCTCTCTCTCTTCGAACCAATCCGAGCCCCGAAACACGCTCATTTCCGCTCTCTTACTGCCAGAAGCTCTCCCGCGAGGTTCTGTTAACCGGGACCACTTCCGCCTTTCTCCCGGAACTGGAGCCGGCGCCTCAGCGGCTGCCTCGGGAAAGGGGGAGGAAGGCGAGGGGGCGGGGTGCGGGAGGGTGGCTGGGTGGGGGATGAGCGCGGCGCCCGGCGGGGGCGCGCAGACGCTGCGGACCCCAGGTCGCCATGGTTACGCCGTGGAGTTCTCCCCCTATCTGCCCGGGCGCCTGGCATGCGCCTCTTCCCAGTACTACGGGATCGCGGGTGAGGCCACGCCCCTCCCCGCTGGCCACTGGGGGGCGCTCGAGGGACCGATCACAGCGGGGGTGGGGGGGGCGGCATGACTCTAATGGGGACCTGGCCTGTCAGTCTTTGTGCACCTGTGGGGGGGCGGAGTCTGAGGAGGCCTCGTGTTCCTAAACCTACCAGTGTGTCCTATGGTTGGTCACTGGACCTCTTTGAGGTTCAATTTCTTCATCAGTAAAATGGGGATAATTCTTGTACTGCCTATGCTAATTATCGTGAGGACAGTGCATTAAACCTGTCTATATAAATGTGAATAATTAATGTCATCATGACAAAAAACGAATTCATTTTTCTCCCCCCAAGCCTACCTACGCCAGGACCTCTGGTCTACTTAATGTTAATTGCACCACTGTTATCCTAATGCCTTAAATCTTGGGATCTTATCTTATCCCCTCCCTCATTACCCTTTTCCCATCAATCACCACCTACCTTAAATTCTAATTCTGGAATATATTTCCCATTGATTTTTTTGTTTTCCTACTGTCACCATCCTAGTTCTGGTCTCCACCCTCCATCTGGACTGTTCCTACAGTATTTTATCTACTGTCCCGGCCTCTAATCTCCCTACTTCTGCAGTAATCCACGCTAATCCAGATTTAATTTTGATATGCAGCTGTATTCCTGTTGGCTTCTAGACTCAGAAACCTCCAGGGTCTTCTGAGTGAACAAAATGCAATCCTTCTTGGAATTCAGGAAGTTTCAGAATTCCGAATAACCTTCTTAGCCTCTTGTTACACTCTTACTCATTTCCCATCCCTCCAGCAACCTGAACCCTCTTCCACAAACTGTACTGTTTACTTTTCTGTTAACAGGCTGTAGATTCTATGGCCTTGAGCTTTCTGTGCATGTTCCCCCAAATTCTGTGCATGTTCCACCTCTCCTCTGAATTCTCTCTCAAGAGTACTTTGTGGTTTGCTAATATGCTTATTATTTATTTTGAATTGTAGTTACTTGTAACTACAGGTGTAGTTACACCTTCTATTAGATTTTAAACTACTTATTCATTTTTGTATTTCTCTTGATGCTTGGAATCATGCCTTACACATGCTAGATACTTAATAAATATTGAATTAAAGTTTATTTTGATCTTGGCTCCTCCCCTAACTAAATTAAAAATTTGGGCAAGCCACCTTCATCTCTCTGAGTTGTTAAAATGGGCATGGTAGTCTGCTCTGTCAACTTCAGAGTTGTAAGCATCAAGTTAAATAATGTATGTCAAATGTATGTGCTTTGAAAAGTAATAATAATACCTAACTTTATAAAGCATTGTCTGCCAAGCTGGGGTTGGATACTTTAGAAGGTGATATAAGTCAACAATTGTTAAATTATTATCTTACTTGATCCTCAAAACAACCCTGGGAGATAGGTGATATTATCCCTCTTGTATAGAAGAGGAAACTAAGGCAGACAGGTTAAGTCACTTACTCAGGGTCACACAGCTACTAAGTGTCTGAGGTCAAATTTGAACTCAGATCTTCCATCTAGCTGCCATACAAATGAATATAACTTTATTTTTCTAGCTCACCTGAGTACTTATGGGCTTGGGGGCAATTATTTTATCTTTTCTTAAACTATCAGAAAAGACCCTTCTTTCATACTCCCCAGTGTGCCTGGTAGTTGCAGAAGCAAAACTTTTTTTGATTAGTAGGGGAAAAAAAAAACTATTCTATAGTAATTTGCCTTTTATCTGTTAGGCATCATCAATATAACTCTAAAAGAAATTGAACCAAGAAAATTGATCCTTCCTAGTAATTAAATCTCCTGTTTCCTAGATGATATTTAAAATGAGATGCTGCTTTTCTTGCAGCACTACTAACCCACCCACAACTGGTGTGTGTCTTTGTTTATCAGAAGTGGTGATGTATCTGCAAAGGTGTTTCTGTTCTTTTGCCTTTGCTCCGCTTTTGGTCAACCTCACATATTTGTAAGATAATTGTCTGGGAATTTAGTTTGTGGCCACAGGAGAGCGAATAGTCAATCATTCTTATCAGCTCCAAGAGCTCATTTTATGCAAGATGCCCAAGCTAGGCAATATGAGGACAAAATTGAAACCATCCTTGCCTTCAAGAAGTTTGTGTACTACTATAAGACTTTAGGCTTGTTGACATGTTTTAACCAGGTGAACTAGCTGGCTTAGACCAGAGCAAGCCAGCTTCATTGCAGGATGTTTTTTCTCCCTCAATAGAATCTCTCCTGTGGCAGAGAATGCCATATATATTGAAATTAAGAGTAAATTTTATATTTGAAAAGATTTACTTTATTTCAAAATTATAATAAATTACTGTTAACCAGTATATAACTAATTTGGCCTTGCATGGAATCATTGTTTATATATTCACTTTTTAATCAATCAGTTAATAAACATTTGTTAATCACTTACCATTAGGCACTATACTTAGCCCTGGGGATACAAAAAGAGGCAAAACACAATCCCTGCCTTCAAGAAGCTCACAATCTAGTCATCCATCTAATGAAATTTGTTTAAAAATCTCACATTTTACAGAGAGGAAGTAGACTCAGGGTGCAGATGGAGACATATTTCTGGACTTGGACAAGTCAGGACTTTGTTTTGCTTAGCTATTCATACTTACAACAGTATTGTATGTCGTTCCTTTGAGGGGAACAGAGGAAGAAAATAGATTTTTGTTAATTGAGAACACTAATAAACACATAGAAAACCCCCTCACATTTTAAAGATAACTTAAAATAAGTCAAGCTTTTATTATATGCGTACCATACATTGTACCAGTAACTGTACTAAAAAGTTTAAAAACATTTCATTAATTGGATTATCCTTTTTTAAAAGGCAGGTTTTGATTGAATAATGATTCCAAATTGGGGGCGAGGAAGAGATAAAAAAATGAATTGTACTTCATTATATGCAACTTTGTTAAATTTGGTAGTTTCATAGCATAAAGTAGGCTGACTGTAGTATTAGTGTTAATTAAACATAACCTTCATTGCCCCCTTTCTCCTCCCTCTTCCCTCCCTTTTAGGTTGTGGAACACTCATTGTACTAGAACAAAATGAAGCTGGAATTGGACATTTTAGAAGGTAATATAGCTCTATCATTATTAAACTAACATTTTTAATATTCTTATCACTGCCAGTTGAACACAGTTGGAGTGTTTTCCCATAGTCAAAATTAAGTTTGTTTTGAATGCATTTGTTTAATAAAATAGTTTTATTTGGCAATATACAGAAACTATTTCACAAAGTTGTATGATATGTAACTTATTTTTGCTTTTGAATTTTGATATGTCATGCTTCTTTCAAAACTAGTCTTAGCAATCATTTATTTATAATTTTTAAAGTCAAAGACATAAGAAATTTTAAATAAAATATGCAATAATCCTGACCCATTTCACCATTGTTTTCAGTATTGTCAACTCTTGATTATTCGGGAGCAATTATCTAGTTTGTGAATTGCTTTATGTATTTTTACTTCCTTTTCTCTAGAGACTTTTTCATTAACAAAAAAGTACTTCAGTCAGGAAAGGCAAAGATAGAGAAGAACATTGAATCAGCTAATAAATACTTACCACTAATAAAAATAAGCTTGTTAGGGAAGTTAAAACTATTCGTCTAAATGAGTCTTATTAAATATTTGCTATTCCTATGTCCTGGAAAGAATTTAGAGTGAAGTGTAGAATTCTGAAGGTAATATTTCAATATCCTTTGTTGTTACTAAAAAATGATTGTCTTGGTTACCTTGGTGTAGTTTTGACTGGAATGATGGCCTGTTTGATGTGACATGGAGTGAGAACAATGAACACGTACTAATCACATGCAGTGGAGATGGGTCTCTGCAGCTCTGGGATACTGCTGAAGCCACAGGCCCTTTGCAGGTGTTTAAAGAGCACACACAGGAGGTAAGGAGGACCTTTGGTTGGGCTCTTCTTGTTCTTATTGCTTAGACTTTGGACAAGATACTCTTCAGTAAAGGCAGATGTCCATATACAGGATCTTTGAATATGGAAAATATGCTTGGGGGTAATATTATAATTGATGAGTATCCCTTCAATTTCCAATTCTTTGCCACCACAAAGAGAGCTGCTATAAGTATTTTTGTACATATAGGTCCTTTCCCCCTTTTAAAAAAATCTCTTTGGGATACAGAGCTAGTAGTGGTATTGCTGGATCAAAGGGTATGCGCAGTTTTATAGCTCTTTGGGCATAGTTCCAAATTGCTCTCCAGAATGGTTGGATCAGTTCACAACTCTACCACCAGTGCATTAGTGTCCCAATTTTCCCACATCCCCTCCAACATTTATGATTTTCTTTTTCTGTCATGTTAGCCAGTCTAATAGGTGTGAGGTAGTACCTCAGAGTTGTTTTAATTTGCATTTTGCCAAAATCATTTCTGGAAAAGGTGTTGGAGAAGCAAATAGTAGCCTGTGGTTACTCCCTGTCACCATTCAGAGGAATCCTTGTGTTTCTAAGGCAGAATTTCTAATCTTTATAATTCAGACACTGACAAATGAGCCACTTACTATTTTGAAAAAGTAAGAAGGTAGGTGACTTGCTGAAGTTCGGAAGAATGGTACTGCCTCTAGGTACATGTGCCCATTTTGCATAGTTTATAAACTTGAACATCCCAATGAGCAGCACAAATTGTCCTGTTACATTTTTTCTATTGTCTTTATGGATCATGATGTTTTTTTGAGCATCATGTAATGATTTCCTTTAGGAGTTTAATAAGTAAAGATCTTATGGGCTTTGTCCACACTGCTCCTAAAAATTTCTTTTTCTCTGCCTTGATTGGCTTACTTCAGGATTTTGCAATTGAAAATTAGTTGTCATTTTTTAGGCCATGAGATAAAACTGAGCTGTGGAGCAATTTTCATTTCTAAATTTCTCATTTATACATTACAATTTAAAAACAGAATTTAAAAAATTCTTTATTGTCATGAATGCTGAGACTTATCAACTCACAAATCACTTCTCAGAATATTAAGTTTTAAAGAATTTGACTGTCACTTCTGAAACGTTTTACAAACATTTTACTGCTGCCTTTTGTTTTTATATACAGTGCAGCAAACATTTATTAAGTGCCTGCTAGTTGTCAGGCACAGTGCTATCACCTTCATTTCCAAATATACCCTTTTTCCCCTCTCCAGAGAGCCATCCTGTATAGCAATGAATGAAAAAAGTAATAGGGAACAAAAGTAGTTCAGCAAAACCAACCAACATACCAATAGGGTCCGACAATGTTTGTAGTATTCCACAGCCATGGTCCTCCACTTCGGCAAAAGGGAGGGAGATATATTTTCTCAGCTGTTCTCCAGGGCCAACCTTCATAGTCAATATATTTGTATAGCATTCACTGTCTTTTTTTTTCTTTCAATTTGTGTTTTTGTAGTCATTCTGTATAATTTACCTGGTTCTGCTTATGAAAGAGTTGTTTTGAGTTAAAAAACTGAGTAAAGAAATGAATTTTTCTGCCTCTCCAAAATTATAGACAAATGATACTTAAATTTATAATCAAAAATGTATTTTGAATAAAATTTGATGTTACTTTTAGCTAAGAAATTCTGAATAGCTAAAATCTTACTTCCTTAAAAATTAATTCATTGCTTATTATGTCTTTTGATTATGATAAAAGTTGATAGGTCTATATTGATAGTTGACAGCCGAAAATAATTTAGAAATGCAAAATGACAACCAGGTAAGTAGTAATACTAATTTAGTCTTTTTAGAAATGCTTTGATGAATTTTAAACATAGCAAATTTGTGTACCTCAAGGTTTTTTGTATCTTTTTATGAAGAAATGATTATAGTTGATACATATTAACCGTAAAGACTAGACTTTTGATTTCACTGATATAGGAATTCTTGTATGAGGGAATTGTAATTACCTGGGGCATTGAGAAGTTGTGACTTGCCTGGAGTCACACTGTTAGTATGTTTAACTTAACTATTATTATTCTGGTTTGTGATATTGTAATAAATTATTATTTAAATAAGTTTAGGATCTGAAATACTATTTTTTAAAGGTAAAAATAGGTCATAACTTTGAGTTAGTTTAATAATTTACCTTCTAGAATCCATATTCAGTAGGACATCATGGTTGTGAAAATGAAAACATTAGAATCATAGATCCAGAAGCAAAAGGGACCTCAGGCCATGTGGTCCATTTTGTAGAAGAGGAATCAAGAGGCCAAAGGAAGAGGAAGTAATTTTCCGAAGCTTTTATACTTAGTAAAATTGGGATTCAACTTAAGTTCTCTTGATTCCAGAGCAGGCACTCTTTCAGATCACGTACAATCTAGAGAACTGATAATAAAATTAATTTCTCACCTTTTGATAGAGAGGTGGGGAACAGAGAAGTTTTCTGTATACTGTAGGCTGTCAAACATAATGGCTATAATTGGATTGTTTTGCTTAATTATCCCCCTGCCCCTGCACCCGTCACCCCAGTGTGTAAGGATTTTTTTGGAAAAGAGAGGGAGGAATTGGAAGGGAAATGGCAGTGATGTAAAAAACAAAGCCTCGGTGTTTAGAAGGATATTGAAACCTCTTCTGTGTTGTCTCCCCCATTAAAGTGTGAGCTTCTTGAGAGCAGAGACTGTATTGATTTTCTGGTTGTATGCCCAGCTCATAGTACTGTGTGTTGCTCACAGCAGGACTGCCTAATAAATTATTTTCCATGTTAACAGATAAGAACCACTTGATGGGCCTGAGAGGCTGAACCACTGCAACCTCTCTTTTCTTTGCTGGGGGGACCTTCTGCTCTGTACGCATGCAAGTGGCACAGACCTGGTTTTGTCCTGGGAGAGCTTTTCTGTACACGAGCTCCATCTCCCATCTCTGGGAGCAAAGCTGATTTAAAATTTTTTTTTTTTTTGCTTCTGCTGAACCCCATGTACCTGTCTCAGCACTAAAGCACTTAGCCCTCAAAGGTGACAAGGCAGTGCCCTCGTTGGCCACTAAGAATAAGGATGATTCAGCAGATGTTTCCAAAGAAGTTACCCCACCCTTGGTGCTCTCTTCCCTCCCAGTTTTGGATCCTGTCAGGGCTGTTTCAATCCTTCCCAGGAGGAGTGAGGGAGAGGTAGCTTGCCCAGTCTCCCACCCTGAAACTGAGGTTGGAGGTTGTTACTTGCGCAACGTCGTATGGCTAGTGCAAACACCAGGTCTTTTGATTCTTAGTGCAGTGCTTTTTCCACAATACCGTGCCTCTGATTTAATTTGAGATGACTATTATTGTAATGTTCACAGTGACTTTATAATAATAGTAATAATTAACATTTTTACATTTATTTCACAAAGTACTTTTCTTACAACAACCCTGAGGTAGGTAGAAGCATTATCATCTTCATTTTATGTATGAAGAAATGAATATTTAGAGATGATAAGTGACTCGATCTCTCCTATCCATATAATAAATAACTGACCCTGGGATTCAAACCCAAGTCCTTTGACTCTAAATCAGATTTTAATGACTGCTCTACACTGTTTCTCTTCTGGTGCTTAAGTCCATCACATTTTCCATTCTGCCACATTTGTGTCCAACTAAGTAGACAGAAAACAGAAACATTAACAGAATATACAAATATAAAATGTTTTCTGTTTGTTTTTAGGCTAAGACTTAATGCATTAGTTGTTTAAGTAGAACTGAAGCTTATATGTTGGAAATTCCAATATGTGATGTAAAAGTGAATGGGCAAGCCCCGTCTTTTCTGGCTATTACATTTTTAATGACTTTGATGTGTTTATTTTACATGTACTTTAATTAAATAAGTTGAATTTAGGAAGGTCAGAGTGAGAAAAACCTGTATTCAAGTCCAATCTGACACATACTGACTGTGTAACTGTCAGCAAATCACTTAGTGCCCCAGGCAATTTTATGTGAATTGTTTCTACAATTCATATTGTCATACGGGTCAGTGAAAAAAATTTCCTCACTGTCAATTTCTAGCATAGATGAAATTATAGACTCAGATTTTTAAAAAGACACACATTTATCTGTATGATGCTCTTTTTTAAAAAACATATCCATAATAGTTATGTTGTGAAAGAAAACAGACAAAAAAAGTTCAAGAAAAATAAAGTTAAAAAAAAATATGCTTCAATCTGTATTCAGACACCACCAGTTCTTTCTCTGGGGATGGATAGCATTTTTCATCATTAAGTCCTTAGGAGTTGTCTTGGATCATTGTATTGCTGAGAATAGCTAAGTCATTCACAGCTGATCATCTTAAAATATTGCTGTTACTTTGTACATAGTACATTTCACTTTGCATCAGCCCATACATATCTTTTCAGGTTTTTCTGAGAGCATCCTGCTCATCGCATAATGCTCTTTATTGATGAACGTCATGTATTTACCAAAATTATTATGTAGCCAGCACTGGGCCAAGCATCGTGATATATGTTTGTAAGTGATTCTTCAGTTGGTTGCTCCAAGACAAAAAAACCATGTATATTACTCAAAAGTAAAGTAGTAGTTAAATTAATACCAATTGAAATGAAATCTAAGAAGACTGAAATAAGTTCAGTATTATTTCAGTTATCTTTTAAAATATATCTTGCTAATTTCAATAAACGTTGTAATACTCGTATACATTGCCCCTTAAATATTTATTGTTCATTTAGTCATAGTTTGGATAAGGATCCCTTTTCTGTGACTTTATATAACTTTATATAGAATTATGTGATTTGAACTCTTAGACCTAACAGATTTTGCAGCTACAGTGAGCTAAGCTGATCAGTTCAGCATTAATATGGTGTGCCCCTGGGATTGGGGCCTGCCAGGTTGCATTAAGAAGGTCAAGTTGGCCCACAATGAAAATAGATTTTACCATTCCCATGAAGATCAGAGTGGCATCAGGCCCAAAAGTAGTCCCAGCAATTCTAGCCTGGGCTATAT